TGTGTAACGGCACCATGTTTTATGTGTGCTTTTGTTATAAACTGTATTTAGAGCTAATAGCAGCAGTATAAGAAACTCTTCTGGTGGTAAGAATTGCCTCACTCGATTTTATTTTGCAGGTTGGACACTGACTATAGGAGATTAAAATGGGTTTTTCACTTTCTCTTTTTATTAAAGGAGATTCCTAATGCAATCTTGTTTCCTGAAGCTTCCACTGGGGAGTGGTGGGCAGCACTCAGGGTATTTATACAATGACAACAAGAAAGTGGTTTTCTCATACTCAAAATCAAGGGGTTTCCTGAAGAGCTCAGGAGCTGAAACTGGCCCATATAGAGAAGCAGCGATTCTGTAAGGCAGAGTAGATTTATAAGCTAAAAGGATATACTCTGGGGACTTCCCTGGTGGTCCAGTGGTTAAGAATATGCTTTGCAGTGCAGGGAACACAGGTTTGATCCCTGGACGGGGAACTAAGATCCCACATGTGCTGTGGGGCAACTAAGCCCGTGATCCCATGTACCACAACTAGAGAGATTTCATATGATGCAACTGCAATGAGAGATTTCATATGATGCAACTAAGACCCAATGCAGCTCAATAAGTAGTAAACAAATAAACAAAAACTTAATGACATTTTTTTTTTTTAAAGCATACACTCTGTGAAGTTCCTGGAGGAGGAGCCAGTGAGGGAAGACTTTGTGTGGAAGATGGGACATGTGTTAGTCTTGGGATGGAGTGGGACAGATTTATGAATGGGGGCCTCTATGCCAGGGGAAGGAAATGCCAAGAGTAGGGGCAAGGACAAAGGCATAAGTAGAACATCTTCATGAAGAGTCAACTGGACTGGGATGGAAGAGCATACGGGGTGGCAGGAAATGAGGCTGGATAATATAGTTCCTGGTAACCCAACAAGAGGATCGTAAATGTGCCAGCAGAGAAATGGGCAGCCATGGAGAGTCTGAGCAAAGAAGCGACATGCATGAAGTTCTAAAAGATGACTGGCTTGCCTGGCATTGCAAGACAAGTTGGAGGACGCATAGACTACAATCAGGAAAACAAGCCATTACAACTATAGTGTAAGATACAGGTATGAAATGTCAAGAGCCAGGGGGTGCCAGTTCAAATGGAAAGGAAGCTACAAGCATGGTAGACATTTGAAAGGAAAATATTGACCACATGCCACCTGCTCATATTGGCCTTGTTCATTCCTCAAAGAGATAAAACATCAAATACCTCTGCTTGACGAATGGATGAGGAAGCTGTGGTGCATATACACCATGGAATATTACTCAGCCATTAAAAAGAATTCATTTGAATCAGTTCTAATGAGATGGATGAAACTGGAGCCCATTATACAGAGGGAAGTAAGCCAGAAAGATAAAGACCATTACAGTATGCTAACACATATATATGGAATTTAGAAAGATGGTAACAATAACCCTATATGCAAAACAGAAAAAGAGACACAGATGTACAGAATTGTGGACTCTGGGAGAAGGCGAGGATGGGATGTTTCAAGAGAACAGCATCGAAACATGTATATTATCTAGGGTGAAACAGATCACCAGCCCAGGTTGGATGCATGAGGCAAGTGCTCGGGCCTGGTGCACTGGGAAGACCCAGAGGGATTGGGTGGAGAGGGAGGTGGGAGGGGGGACCGGGATGGGGAATACATGTAAATCCATGGCTAATTCATTTCAATGTATGACAAAGACCACTGCAATGATGTAAAGTAATTAGCCTCCAACTAATAAAAGTAAATGGAAAAAAAAATACCTCTGCTTATGAAATATTGTGTCATATAAATGTCTATAAAACAATATTTATAGGTTTCTCATGATTTACTTAATTTTCCAAATATTTAATCGCTTCAGATAAGGGTTAAAACATTGGATGCACTTTGTAAGGTGGAATTATCAGAATAGTTTACAGTTTTCAAATAACAATCTCAAAAAACCTTTGAAATCTTTCAATGCTCTGAATTTCATGACAGATGGTATGTTATTCAGACTCTTTCAGATTATAAGAAAGTCATATCTAAATTGTAAATGATGAAGGTTTGGGGTTGGCATTTCCAGGGAAGTAAGGAAGTGGGCCAAGTGCTCAGCAGTTCCATAATCATTGTGGCTCCCACATAGGGGTCCAAGATTTTCACAGTTGGATGCACAGTAGGTCTAGATTGAATCGAGGGAAGCAATAAATCAGTTTGACATGATTCAGGATATTGTAGTGGCTCTTGTGACTTGTCTTCTCTGTGAGCATCTCTTATGCTTCTGAAGAGCATCATGTCAACCATTGTTACTATCCAAATGTGGAGGCCCACCCCTGGATAGTTTCTCCCCAAGACAGCATATAGAAGAGTGTTTTGCATCAGAGTTCTCCCACACTTGATGGCCCTTGACTGGGGCTCCATTCCTGCTGTAATCAGCTAGAATAGGGTAGCTATCTCTCATCACAAATGACATAAACCCATAGCCATTCAGGCAGAAAGAAAAGCCTGGGGTCACTTTCCTCAGCGGGGGTCCATAACAGACACTCAAAGCTCCCCATCTGTTTAGATGGGGTAGACAATGGTACAGATTTGTGTTTGGAGTCAAAAGGAGGAATTCTGTCTTTATCAGAGAGTCATATAATAGCCTTCTGAATTTCTGAACTTAGAAAGACAACTTTCAAATGGAAAGAGTTTGTATATATTTCAAATAATCACTAACTTCTGTTTATATCAAAAATTTCTCTCCTTTTTCACTGATGAGACAGGAAATTCAGTCAGACACAGCACATCAGAGAATGTGAGGATTTTCCATATTCTATTGTGTCTTTTATTGGAAATGAGATATCAGAGAAGGTTGGTTGGTTGCCGTTTTTCCCCTGGAGTCCAGAAATTGTCTAAACTACTTTGCCCCAGGTTATTATCAATGATTAGCCAGTGACTTGTCTGGTGAGTACCTACTTTGTTCTGAGATGACATATCATGATTTCATCTGATGTACTACTTATTAGAGTGGTTCCTGGAATATTCTAGGTTGAGAAGGATTCTAGGTTTTGATCTTTTTTCAAAAGGAAAGAAAGCCAACACTGATTAGTGACAATGAGTACAGAAGGGAGGAAAAGGAGCATAGGCATGATATTTACCAACATTATACCATCATCACACCTTCACATTATTTTCAGTAATGTGCCAGTTCTTTTCCCACATCCCAGTTTGCTGCTCCTGAAACTTGGTGATTTCACCGGTGCCTGATTTTTTTCCGCTTCTTCACTTCCACTCCAATGCTTGTTATCAACAAGGCCTTCCTGAAATTTCTCTCTCCCTTTTCATTCCTCCAGACATAACCTTGGTCCAGTTGGCTCTGAAGGCTTTCAAAGCTGTTGTCATTTAGAGAAGAGTGATATAGTTCTGGAGATACCAATTAGGTGCCCAGAAAGTGTCCACATTGACAGACCCTTGGGAATCTGAGATATAGTTTTCCCTTAGCCTTCTAGGTCTAAAAACTCAATTGTGTCAGGGCCCCAAATTGGACCCAGAGGGAAATGGTTTATATGAATCAGTCATAGGAGACTGGTAGATAAGCAATTACAGGGGAAAAAAAATGTATTGGCTTTACAGAAAATTGTAAAGTTCTATGATCTGCACATTTGTTCCTGGTGAGAAATCTCCATGCAAGTCAGGACATGATCAGAAGGGGGTTTGGTGAACATGAGAGCAAGGTAGGGCACTAGCTGTGGGGTCTAAAGGGAATGAACTCATGGTGGCCCACCTCTTCCTGGGGATGTCTCACCACCACTTCCCAGGACAGTCTGGCTAAGTGCTGCCATGTGCCACACTTTGCTGGTTTTCATGCTGTGATTGAGCCTTTGTCAACATGCCCTTTAACAATATCGACGTCTTCAACTACTGTCAAGTTGTTCCATTCACTTCATCCCAGACAACCTGCCTTTTAAATACAGAGGATTGATTTTGTTAGTGGACCCCTCTAAGTTTAGGGGGTGTTCCTCACTTTCATCACCTACTAGCCCATTCCCTAGCTATTTAGGAGCTTTACCATCTCCAGATTTTTAACTAATTCTTTTGCCTAAAAGACCTCTCATTATCCACACCGCCTCACATTTGATGAGCCCGAGTTGACAGAGCCCTTCCATAGGCAGTGTCTCCCAGAGTCCTCACCTGCTTGGGCAGAAGGTAAAGTGTGGGTTTGCCCATGAGGGAGGAGAAGAGGCTAACAGAAAACTCCAGCAAATTCCTGCAGGGCCCCTACCCCAGTGCCAGGTCAGGGAACATGGAGGCTGACTTGGGGGCCCATGTTTTCTCTGCCACTCACCATCTCCTGCTCTTTTTCCTATTAAAAAAGCTCATAAACATTCCCAATCCCTGCCCTTGGGGGTAGAATGAAGTTACTAATGATGGGTTTTCAGGCCCCCACTCTGCACCTGATGTCTGACTTCCTGCTCCCGCCCCCCACCGCCCTTTTCAAAGTGCCCAGTCACGTGGGCCCTCTTCCCCTTTCCACTTGCCCTCCGCGCTCCAGCCCCTGCTTTGGCAGCTGCTGAGCAGAGAGAAAACAAGTTCAGAGAGTGCTTCTGGGTCCCCTAGAGGTGCCCTTCCCCAATTTACCCGGGGTATCAGTTTGGCAGGTCACCTTCTGCTGGCACTGGGCTCCAGGATCTGGAGGGGGTGAGGCTGGGGGAGGGAGCACGGGCTGAGAACGGGGAACTTTCAATGCATGTTTGATCCTCGTCCGCATTCAGGGCTCCTCATTAAAGCCACAGACGCGGCGCGGAGGACCTGCTCTTCATTTCAGAGTTGGCAACGCCTGAAGCCCCATTAGCGGTAATATGCACCAGCGGGGATCCAGGGAGAGGAAGAAGGCTGAAAGGACTAGAGTTTCTGGCCCAATTTTTAAAGAAAAGAAGAGAACGAGAGACCCATAAAACTCAGAAGCACTCTTTCCCCCTGGGCTCATTCACATGGAAATGCAAGTCCGCTGATGGCGGACAGGGCCGTGATGGCGCAGGAGCGGGGGTCCCCGGGACCCTCCAGCTCCTCCGCGGCCGCCCCAAGCGCCAGCGGGACTCCCCTTCTGAGCCACCAGTGCCAAATGGAGAGACTTGAACGTCACATCTTTGGGCACTTGGCAGGAAACACCATGGATGTTCCAGTTATTAAACTAATGAGTACTCAAGACCCCAAACCGCCCTTCGTGGTGCACGTAGGCCCCAGCGTCGGGTGCTGGGAAAGGGCCTCATCAAGCAGAAGGCGCTCTGGTTGCTGTGCCCACGATACGGAGCAGGGCAGCCGTCATGACATTGGCAGTGCCTTCTGAGATTCCTCTGAGGGCTTCGTGTGCTGGATCTGAGGCTCAGGCCTGTGGGGGTCAGGGTTCATGTGGGGAAAGGAAACAGCGGATCCCCTTCCTTGAAACTTAAGGAAACAGGTACTAACATAAGATCTATGTTTTGCAGCCTGATCTCTTGCTGACAGATGTAGAGAGCAGCACTGCCTTTGTTGTAATCACTCTGCTTCTTACTTAACCTCTAAGAATGCCGCCTTGAGCACACCACTGCGGATGGGAGAGACACCAGTCTTGATTCCAGTGGCCCAACCCGAAACTTTGGCTACTGGATTCTCAGCCCATCTTCATAGGCACTCAGGGAGGCACGCAAGGCAGTGTTTATCTGCCCATTTTTGTTGTTCATTTGCTCAGTCTTGTCAGACTCTTCGCAACCCCGTGGACTACAGCACACCAGTCTACCCTGTTCTTCACCATCTCCTGAAGCTTGCTCAAACACAATGAGGAAATGGAATCTCTGTGTGCAGATGATCTGTTTGTGATCTGCAGAATGAAGACTCAAACCCAGACCTTCTCAGCAACTTCAGTATTTTCAGTACTTTTTCCAGGAATCTACTTTCTAGAAAGATCTCAAGCTCACCTGTGAAATGAGGATTGGGAAGAGTCATCATATTTGGGACTGTGAATCATTCTTAGTTTGAAGACAGTCTCATGACATGGACTTCCTGAAGATCCACCAATTGCCAGACTCTCTTTAAGAGGCCTGAGCTGACTCTTGTTTCAAGGAGCAGCCTAACATTAATATCATCAAGAGAGATCTCTTGTGCCCTTCAGTTTACGAAGTTAACTTCCTGTAGTTAACTTCACGTTCTGCTTTCTGGCTGGCTTCTGGGTTTCACATTCCTCTTCTCAAGCACTTGCTCTTCCTTCTATGACTGCTGACCTTTTTCTTTTCTGTCCTTGGGTTTATTGCCCTGTTTGCTGCCTTCTTCACTGTGCTATTTGAGGATGCCTGTTGTCAGAGACTAGAAAACTTGTATCCGTTGGAGGAAAGAAAATAGAGAAAGCCCTTCAGTGAAACTGCAAACATGTGGGACAACAAGCTGCAAACACTCATCAGGACATCTGAAGCATCACAGATTATGTGTCTGGAGTGCACACATCCGTCACGTGCTCTAGAGTGAGGTCAGCCTTCCAGAGTTCTGCTTAGGGAACAGAGGGGTTGGAAAGAGATTGTCTCATTATACAAGTGAGAGATGATTTCCCCAAAATGACACAACTAGTCAGTGGCAAAATAAAGGTTCATGTGTACCTGTGTGATTCTCTCTGCCCCCCTCCCCCTGTAATTTGTAGGATTGAAGGATTGGAAGGAATCTCCATCACCTTTTTAGAAGAGAAAATAACTCATACGAGTCTACAATGCTTTCTCATGGTTTTTCTGAAGGTTCTAAGGGTGAGATAAAAAGATCTTGCCAAGAGGTAAGAACTGAGGGAGTGATTTTTTATTTTTTGCCAGTGATGGGTCTTAGTTGTAGCACTTGGGACCTAGTTCCCTGACCAGGGTTTGAACCCAGGCCCCCTGCATTAGGAACTTGAAGTCTTAGCCACTGGACTACCAGGGAGGTCCTGAGGGAAGGGTCTTAAAAAAGAGATCAACCTGTCCTCTTTTAGACTCTTGGACTTTCCATCCACTCCTTTAAGGTAAAAGTAGGAAGTTGGAAATGTGATTATATTATCCTCAATGCGTAGGCAGTAGCTCACCTGGAACAAAGAATTGAAAACAGGGTTTTTCCATGTGAGATGCCTCAGGTGGGAGCTTTTTTACAATCTTAAATTTGAATCCTAGATTACAAAACATGTTGTCATTCAGTCATTCAGTCATGTCTGACTCTTTGCAACCCCATGGACTGCAACACACCAGGCTTCATAAGCTGCTTTCATAAAGCACTTCTCTATAAAGAAAAGCTTACTGTGAATCCTTGTGTCTTTGTTCATATCTGTAGCTTAAAGGACTTGTCTGCTTTTGTTTTCCCTGACAGTGACCTTATTTTCTGATTTCAAACCTGAGATTCCAAGTCTAGCAGAGTCTTGCTTTATATTGTGAGTTATCTTATACAAAAAATATTTTAAAGGTGTAAAAAACAAAGTGCATTTAATCAGTGTACTTAGCTAAACATAGATATGAAAAAGAACAAAAATACATGAAATGAAGACTGTTCCCATTAATGTTTTTCATGGGGAGTTTTTTAAAAATGCTATTAAGTTTATTAACATTTTTAGATATATTTGGTTACATTTTTTACTTTTTACTTTTATTTTATTTTAAATATTTAATTCTTCCATGTGGACCAAAAGTCTGTATTGAATTTGTTACAATATTGCTTCTGTTTCATGTTGTTGGTTTTTTGTTCTCAAGGCTTCTTACCTCCACGACCAGGGATCAAACCTACACCAGTTGCATTGGAAGGCAAAGTCATAACCACTGGACTACCAGGGAAATCCCATGATTACTTTCTTTTTAAAGAAACTCTTTTGTATTATAAACTCAGTAAATGTTTTTTGTAGAATATTTAGAAAATGCAGATAGACAAAAACCATAAAATTTTTAAATTTATAATCTTACTTCTTAAAGATAATCAGTGTTACTTTATTCTAGACCTACACACATACTATGTAAGCACATGCACACATGTGTACACACACACACATCACTGGATTACACTGTACAAACAGCCTATAATTTTTCCCATTTAATATTCCAATAAATATTCACCTACAACATTATTTCCATGACTGATTTCTATCCCTTTGTATGTCGTTCAGTCACTCAGTCATGTCTGACTCTTTGCAACACCATGGACTGCAGCACACCAGGCTTCCCTGTCCTACACTATCTCCCAGAGTTCATTCAAACTCATGTCCATTGAGTTGGTGATACCATCCATTGCTTGGCTGTTTTAAAGCTACAGTAAATATCCTTGGAATGAATCAATCACTCTAGAGGTCTCTCAAATTATGAAGCAGTGTTTTCCTAAAATATTTTACTCCTAACACATCCATGTTCAGTAGTAGAGAAAGTATAAAAATTGCTAAAGTTTGCAAATCATCATGCTCAGAATAATTTAAAGGTTATAATAAGTCAGATTGCTAGAAATTCAACTTAAATCACAAATGGCAACACGATCCACAAAGTAGTTTCTCTTCTTTCTTTTTTTCTTTTTGGCCACACCCTGTGACTTATGGGATCTTAGTTCCCCAGCCAGGGATTAAACCTGAGTCCTCAGCAGCTGAAAGTTTGGAGTCCTAACCATTGGACTGCCAGGGAATTCCCAGTAGTGTCTCTTCAGGTATTTTTTTTTACACAATTCTTTAAAAAAAATTTTTATTGAAATATGGTTGATTCACAATGCTGTGTTAGTTTCATGTGTACACTAAGGTGATTCATACATATAAAGATACGGGCTTCCCTGGTGTCTCAAGTGGTAAAGAATCTGCCTGCAATGGGGAAGACCTGGGTTCTATCCCTGGGTTGAAAAAATCCCCTGGAGAGGGGAATGGGCTACCCACTACAGTATTCTGGCCTGAAGAATTCCATGAACTGTATAGTCCATGGGGTCGTAAAGAGTCAGAAATGACTAAGTGACTTTCACTTTCATATATATATATATGTATATGTATATATATATATATATATATATTCTGTCCTATTCTTTTTTTACATTCTCTTCCTTATAGGTTATTACAAGATATTGAGTTCCCAGAGTTCCCTGGGTTACATAGTATGTCCTTGTTGGTTATCTGTTTTATACATAGAAGTGTGTATATTTTCATCCCAAGCTCTTAGGGGTGAGGGAGGAGGCAATGTGGTATTGCAAGAAGAAAATTGCTCTTCTAGGATTGGTGCCACATCACACACAATCAACACCATCATATCCCCTTAACTCCCCAAGGGGCTCTTCTTGCATTTATTTTTACCTTCTATATTGACCTTCACTAGAGAATAAAAATTAGAGATAGGTGAGGAGTTGCACATAATTTGTCCTGGGTTCTGTGACCCACATCTTCCATCCTGCCCTCATTCATCATGGCTGGTCCCAGTGCATTGTTAATAAATAGAGAGAGGAGGGCTGGTGAAGACATGAGAGAGAAGATTTCAGCATAATCCCTGGAAGACTGGTGTGGGCTGTCCTGCACATACGTCAGCAGAGACACATTCCCTTTGTTACCTGAGACCAGATTAACGCTGTTGGTTTCTGTGCCATTCATCAGTTTCAAAATCATGAGCATAATAACTTCCTCAAGTGACATACATCATAGCCCAAGTACCACAAAGCTTTCTTTAGCATGTTAGGCAATGATAATTTACTACTAGTAATGTAAATCATGGATGGTCACAAGGTTTATAAAAAATGTCCTCAAATTTTTATACTAAGCATGTGACTTTAAGAAAACAAAACACCACCCCCCAAACCTAGCTCATCAATTTCTCATCCCAATTTAAATGTATACATTTATGAAAAATGGCTACTTCCACATTAGCTAGCTTGGGCTACTTTGGAGCAATTTTGGTTTTCTACTATAACTTCTTTCCTTCTTAAGATGCCTTGCTAAATGACCCTGTTTTAGATGCCTGATTTTGGCTGCTGCTGAGAAGTACCAAGTGATGGACTCAGCATCTCCCTCTCCTACCTGCAGGTCTGGACAGTGGCCCTCCTCCACTCAGTGACCTTCTTGGATATGGTGCCTGCATTCCATTCCCAGCACAGGGCTGGCTCCAAGGACGGGAGCCCTTTGCAAAGCACTGTTTCCCATAGTTCCTGATGCCTTTGTTCTGAGACAAAGTAAGCCTGTGCTCCATCCCCTCTGCCAAGCTTCTGCTTATCACTAGGCAAGGCAAATATCACTGGAATGTTTCAGTGTGCTATTAACCAAATTACAATGCAATCCCAATCACTTGATTAAGTGTTTTGAGGACTCATTAGTCCTGGCATTGACAAGTCCTTATAGGAGATCAACAATGTCAATGGGAATAA